GCGGCCGCCGCCGCCGCCGCCGCCGCCGCCGCCGCCGCCGCCGCCGCCGCCGCCGTTCAACGTATCGTCGTCGCGTCCTATGGAAAATGAAAACGGGGATTTATTGCCCGCAACAATTGCACCGTTCATGACGTTGGAGAGTGCTTTCCGCACCTCGACGGCTGGCGTTCCCCGGACCGCGCGCTGCAAATACCGAGAAACACATTCAACAGGAGGAAACTCTTTGCGCAATCGGCACGCACACGTCGGCGCTGACTGACGGCGCGTTTGTGATAGATGCGCGCCGTGCCACGTAAATATACGAAAAATCCCTTTGTGGCTCGCGATAAATTGCTCGTAAAATCGATATCGCCGAGGCTCTCTCTCTCGTCGTCGACTACGTCGCGAATATCCAGCGTTTCGCAAACAGTTCGCGCGGAAAGCCACGTGCTATGGAGAAGTGCGATTTATGCTTGACTGACTGGCGTTCCGACTTGAATAATAATATTTACCTCGGATCAATTCAGGCGTTTGAACATATTATTTTGGTTTAGACCAATAAATCTGTTCATCTGTTTATATAGAAAAATCTTTATCAATTAATGAAACTGCACTGAAGGTTGATAAAGAATATATTAAACGTGTAGGTACTCTGTCGTTTTTAAAATGACGCGTTACGCAACGCGTCGATGGAAAGATTTCCAGATCCGCAACATTCATAAGATTCATAGGATCGTTTTATCATAATGATTACTTGCGAAATCCGACCGCACGCATCGACCGCGACCGATGAGGATGATATTGGACGAGACGATGTCAGTGTTCGCGCCAATGTACCGAACATAAACATTCGCGCGGCCGACGTGACTACGTCATCCAGGGAAATGGAAGAAAAAAAAAACGCGGCGGGGCGTCGCGGTGTCGCGCCGGCGACACGCTGGTCCGACTTGTTTCCGACTTGCCAAACGCCGGGAAGACACGTCCGCGATCGCTATCAATTCAGACACGTCAGTGCGAGGAGGTGAGCCAGCATGCGCGCGTCGGGATGGTCCACCGCGATTTTCCAGCTGTGTCTGGTCTCGATCGCGGCCGGATACCCGATCCACCCGACAAAGGGGGTGACGCACCGGCCGGGCGTGCCGAAAAAGTGTTGCCTCTCCGGTTACGCATTCAACGAGAATCTCGAGTGCGTTCATGCAAAACTGGATCAGTTCGACTATACCACGCATGACGCGCGGCGAACAATCTCGTCTCACTCCCCGCAGCGAATCGTCACGGTGATCGCATCCGCGCAGGGACTGAGATGCGACGGCGAGGAGAACGATACCAGTTCGAAATATCATCCACGTGGCCTTCCTATCAACTCGATTTTCCGCTCTTCGAGAGACTATTGTATTGAAAATATGATCAACGGCACGACGGTGCTGATCAAGTGCGCGGAGATCGGCTCGGAGGTGTCTCTGGACAGAGAGAATTCGACGGAGATGACGATAGTGACGAAAACCACGACGACTACGACGACGAGGAGGATCATCACCGTGACGACTATCACCACCATTACCACCATTAGTCTAACGAATGTATCGTCAAATATGTCAAAGGAGGACGAGATGATCAACGAGATGACTCACCGCTGCAGCGATCTGAGGACGGTGTTCTTCTGGGGTGCGCAGACCTACATGGACACCAACGTGGCCCACGTCGTTCTCTCCACCATCGTCGTCGTGGTGTACCTGTCCATCCCGGAACTCGGCAAGAGCATCTACAATCGCGCGGTGCTCCGTCACAACGTCTGCCTGCTGTTGCAGGGGTTCTTCCTGACGTTCCTCGGCTACTGCAATCTGTGCGGCTTCGCGACAAGCGACGACTTCGACACCCTCCTGTGGATACTAATGCAATACTTCACGAACGCCACGGTGTTCTGGCTAAACGTAATTTGTTTCGACATGACCCTGTCTATCACGCGCTTCCGCTGGATGATGGGATCGGGCCAGCAGACGATTCAGGAGGAGAACAGACGACTCCTGCTGTACGGCGTCTTCGCGTGGGGCGGCGCCCTGGTCCCCGCCGTCGTCGCCGTCATTTTGGAATTCTGTCCCGGGATCCCGGAGGACTTTCCGCTCAAGCCGAATTACCGTCGCTACCACGGCGGGCCGAACTACGTGGTGAACATATACTTCTTCGGCATACCGCTGCTGACGCTCTTCTGGAACAACGTGCTGTTCGTGTTCACCACGTATAAGATTATACGCATACAACGGAGCACGGAGATAGCGACGAGGAATAACACCAACGTCCTCAGAAAGAAGTACTTCCTCTTTCTTCAGCTGTACCTGCTGATGGGCGCGCCGTGGTTCTTCGGCCTGCTCTTCGCCTGCTTGAACAAGCTCGTGGTGATGAAGATATGTCGGCTGATATGGCCGATCCTGTGGCTCCTGATGCTCGCTACCCACAAGAAACTGCGGCAGAAGCTCGCAAACAAGTTGCGGTGCGTCAGAAAGAAGTCAGATATCGTCGCGACTGTCTCGTAAGATAGGCTCCACGAAGAAAGAGATCTAGAATCCATCCTCGGTTTGGACCGCAGAAAAAAAAAATATGTGCGTATCACGATCATTCTCGGCTTGGATCGCCGAAAAAAGAATGCGCGCGTGACGGAACACGATTCTTATCGATTACATGGAGGAGGAGCGTAGAAAATTGCGAGAGATGCTTCGTCTATTGTCATACAATATTACGCAATCTCGCGACAGTGACGGTTTCTCTCTCCCCCCCCCCTCCGCCCCCATCGTCATTAACGTTCGCGCAACCTGCGCGCTCGCGGGCATTTGCATTCCTTTCTAGCGCAACTCTCCGTAGAAAACCTCCGTCGGGGAAAAGGAGGGACGGAAAAAGAAAAAAAAAATCCACGCCGCCGCTGCCGCTGCAATATCCGATGCCGCGGACTGAGTGATGAGTCGCAGAAAAAACTCGGGTTCGCGGCGTCGCCGAGCGGTAGGATAATAAAGGAGTCGGGGCGCGACGTCGTTTCCTGCCGGGACATTTTAATTACCGTATTCGCGACGCGCTACCACTCGCTACCCCCGCGCGCTCGTATCTTTTTTTTTTTTTCCTTGTTTTACAACGTGTAGAATATTAACCTGTTAGTGTATAACGCGGACGATGCATCAGTGACGGACGCTTTTTACGAGCGATCCTTTGCACCTCGGAAAGATGCAATAAGAACGTGATTCTTCTCCCTCGAGGGAAAATCTCGCCCCGTGCACGCTAACAGGTTAAAATATGACTCTAAAATGCGCGCGAGAGAGAGAGAGAGAGAGAGAGAGAGAGAGAGAGAGAGAGAGAGAGAGATGTTCTTTTTTCTTTTCTCTATCGTACATCAATTTTGTACCCTATTAGGTAGACACACTTATAGAAGTTCCGATATCTAGTCAAATGGGAGAAACAAGTCCATTAGCGAATAGACAATCGCGAGTAGAAAATATCTGGAAGAAATTATCTCGAATTGCGATCCTCTCGATAGCGCGGAACGATAAGTAACGATGGAATTGATAAGTGACGGCCTACGGACAATGGCTTATTAGACATATTGATTTAACGTCCTCGTTCGCGGTGCGACATGACAAAAAAAAGGATCATCGTAATTTTCTTAGGCCAACTGCAATACCACCTACTTCAGATACTTCTAAGAATGTGACAAAGGATAAATATTGTATCGCGTGCGATAATATATAGGAGAGATAAAAGATTAATAGCTTGTAGACGTATGTTTACGTGATTACAGTAGTCAATAATTAAACGTAGTTAAATGCAATTTATCGTACACTAATTCGCATCACTTTATCGTAAATAAAATATTTTTCGCGAAAAGACCGTTTGGTCAGAATTGCTTTATTATTTTAGGATGCAAGAGCACGATCTGAAAATAAATTTACATTCAAAATTGTTAAAATATTCAGCGTATACTCAGAGAATCTATCAGGACAAAATATCCATGACCAACATTTATATAACACGATGTAAACAATTTATAAACGATTAAAATATATATTAAAATATATATTTGAACTGATTATGCTTTTTTTCGTATCTAACTTGACCATTAAATAAAAATATTTTAATTTTTCTGTGAGTGGAGACCACGTTATAAATATATTATTATTTTATTCACAATTAATTGCATCAAAATATCTTACTTGAATCGAGGTTTCCAATTTTAATAAACGTTTTATTCTCTTTTTTTTTTTTTTTTGGTAAGTTTTTACTTACTTTTATATATGTAGAGAAAGATCCATTTTGCTGAAGTATCTAAAAAAAATGTGATCAGGTACAGATTTGAAAATAATTTTGTTGAATTATTAAAATAATTATGTGTTAAGTTGGGTGTCGCAACATATAAAATTTTTGCAATATTATTATTTTGGTGGTTTAAAATTATTATTTCCAAGTCTGTATCTATACCAAATTTTTATATATTTTAAGTTTATATATTTAAAGTCGTTCTATTCGTGGCATCTTTTAACAATTGTATGTAATTATTCATCTTGGGTTTTCCACACAAAGCTGTTAACTAGAAAGGCTTATTAGTTAGCTAATCTTCTCAAGTATACGTGGACGTGACATGAGTCATCGCCTGGGTATCGCTGTCATAGATTGCATCAATATTTATGCCGTGCCGTTGCATCGCGTGTGCGCAGATTTGTGTATGTTATTTCGTGTTAAAACAAAAACTAATTTATACGCGTCAACTTTTTTTTTTTGGCCGGTCAAGTTACTCCTGTGCGTTTTACGGTGCGTTTCTCCGCGGTCGCGTCCGCGATTTGCATGAATAAATACAAAAAAATATATGATACCAAGTAATAATCTGAAATTTAACATACGAAAGATATTACGTGTGACAAACGTAGTTCGTTAACACGGATTCGCACGCCGTCCGAGCGATATTTCGACGATCATTATGTCCAACCGGCCTTCTAAAGCCCGAAACGCTTTCCCGCGGATCCGCCGCGCGGCATGCAAAATTACGACGTAGGCGCTCTAACGAGAGACCAGAAGCAAGCTTTAAACGAACTGAAAATGATCATCCAAAAGGAAAACGAAGTTTACCTTAAATCGCATCCGGGAGGTCAAGGGTTTAATCAACAATTTTGCTGAGAGATAAATTCGCATGAGTCTAATATAACCATTCGTATAATTTAAATTATAATTTATAGTATAATCGTTTGTAATTTATAATGTAATTATTTATATAATTTCTAATCTTGCCTCGGAAGAAATATATCTTTGTATCTTCGTTTGTGTCTAATTAATATTTTTTTATTAAAATCACTTTATTAGACTTACGTCGCGCATATTATGATATGCCAATTATTTATATGTCATCGGTTGGCATTTAACTTGTCTTTTCTCTAACGATAATTTTATAAGGAAAACGCGCGGAGAGCGACCAATTATAATATTTAATACGCGACCAGAATATCTCGTTCGAGATTAATGGCACGTCATTAAAATCGCTCTCGCAGGCACGTCCTATCGAAGCAGCCGCTCATCGATATTCCCGAGGCTGTAGGTACATTTTTCAACAGGCCACGTCGTGAAATTGTTGCTGACCTTTTGGACTACATGTCGTCCGCCGATAAACGATCGGACATAACGGACGATCTCGGGCAGAAACTATTTCCAACGACCGGCCATTGAAAGTCGCAGTAGCGACAACTCGAGCTCGCAATCCGAATTCTAACTCGCGCGATTGCAGCAGCCGTGACTCGTAATTTTTAATAACGATCCAGATGTAATCGATTTACAGGGTTAAATTTGTTCGATTTCCATGAGGGAGCAACGACGCAGACACATAAATCCTAATAATGCAATCAGATCTAATCTAATCACGCGTGCGGCCTTTTCATAAATTTAAAATCAAATTAGTCCTTATCGCCAAAGTGTAAATCTAGCGTAGTAAATCTAATTGTGCTTTTTAGAGCGTTACATAAATAACACCTGATTAATATTCATTGTAATCTCCCATATTAATATTCCGTTTATTGAAATATTGAAATTTTGTATATCTAAATTTTATATATATTCTCTCTAATATTTGCTCTACGTGTGTCAATATGTGATAACGTCGCTGCATTATATAATTACACATAATAATCCAGTCGTGCGCGCGGATTCTCTTTATAAATCTAAAATTAAATAATTTCGATTCTTATCGCGAGAGTACATGTTTAATTCGGTTGCGCTCATTGTATAGAACATTATATAAATACCACTTGACTGTCATTAATATTAACGTATAATGAAATTTTATTTCAATCTATGCTTTATATATATATATATATATATATATATATATATATATATATATATATATAT